GACCATTTCTGATCACTCTTGTCACTATAAACAACAATTACAGCAACAACAACAGCTCAGTGGGATAATTATTTCCAGGCCGTATTTCCAAATAATTTCCATCTCTCGATCACACACTTTGTCACATATCAGGTGTTTAAGTACTCCATGTTATTGTTACTTCCAATGCAACCAGTGTCTGACAGCTAACACGTGTGTTGGACTTTGGCATTTAGTTCCACTTCTTTCCTCTTCGCAACATGGATGAGAACATCTGTAGTTGGTGATAAATAGGCGAGTGATAAGATGGTATTCATTAGAAGCGTAACAAAGGATGGATTGAATTGAACACGTGGTGAGCTGACTCGACTGGAAGCGAAAACTAGAACTTGGACTAAGACGGTGGTTCTGGTGTTGCAATTTTGGAAGTCATTCGTTGGCACTGTGATCAAGAATGTGCAAGAGTGTTGTTGCGCACAACTAGTGATGTGAAAGTTTCTCAATTGGTGACTGCATTACGTCATCCCTCTGTGTTGTCATTTATATTCACAGTGAGCTTTTGAAGTTCAAGTAATGAAATCGAGTAAGCACTCGGGTGGTCTGTACTTGCAGAAGCCTATTTAACCTCGTCCATAATGAGGAATCAACTTATCGTTCCTGATGCTCACCACATGTTCGTGTCTTTGTGCTTTGAGTAATGTTCATCCATTGATGTGAAATAGCAAAACAACTGAATTAAGCAAAATCAGAGAGGCAGAACTTCCGCCTATCTCTAATCTTATCTTCTATATGTGCTTAAATTAGTTCCCGTATAAGAATAATGCCGTTTTTGCTGCCTCTTAAAGTTATGCCGCATTTGTCGTTTTCTCAAAAGCTGTACTTCTTATAACTAGAGCTACAGAACGGGTTTTTTAATTGTGAACTTCTTGCGAAACACATGATAATGAATGTTCTCTGACATTCTATTTACCTTTTCTTCCATGAAAACTTTATATATATATTCAAAATTTATGACAGGTGTGGGAGCACACTTCTGCAGGACGATGCCTCAATGCAACATTTTAATAAGTGTCCTAAAGTATTTGCCTTCTTTGGCAAGAAAATTCAAACTAAACATATTGACACCAACTAATCTTTATGAATACAACTGGTTCGGTTTTATATTATAATGCCTAATCAGAACACCTTTTAATAACGGTGCGTTTCTCAGTGCTATCGACGCTTATTGACTATGGTCACATTACTCACTCAGTTCTTACAATATTTCCTTCAAATCGATATTAAACAAATAAAGTTTGATAGTGTTAAATTTCACCAATAAGAAGAAAGTAGATGAGGCAAAATTTGTCGAAATCAGGTAGAGTTTCATTCAGCTTAATAAGAATAGAGAAAAGGTTCACAAACTCCCCACTTGGTAAGGCATCAAGTAGTAAGGCGACTTCATTCATAAATAAAACCGTGCGGGAAATATGACGTTATTCTTTCAGCCTGGTGTGGTCTGCCAGCCCATACCTACAGATGAAATGGGATTTACTGGGGTCAGTTGGATAAGTCCACACTTGTATTTTGTCTTAGGCTTCAATAACACTGCGTTGTGGAATAAATCTCTTCATTTGACTTATAAGGCGCTACCTAGTTTCAGCCAATAATAATTTAGACATGTGTATAGGTTATAGAAGGAGCCAGTAAACTTGAGAGCAAATTGCACAATATGACGTCAAAGTGTAATCATCGCACTCTGATTGGATAAAGGTGGCCTTGAAGTTAAGGATTGAGTACGTGATTGGATGAGAAATACGCATTTTAACTGTTCAAAATGACGTAGGATCATATGCCTTAATAATTTTCAGAATTGGCAACCATCAGGTGGGTGTTGGCTCATCCCCCTTCACACATAAACAACTTCTTTCTTGTACACCCAATATTAATTCATTTGATAACTTTAAATGTGTATTAAACGCATTATCCCGTTGTGAATTAGCAATATCTAGAAGGGCAATTTTGCGACCAGCAACTCAGTGGGCACTTTACAAGGACCTGCAGCAGCTTGACATGACCGTTGAGAGTTCAGCCGTTGACCAAGCAGAATTCCTTGAAGTTGACGTGATGACAGGCAGACTAACTCTGAAGCCAAAGACGGGTCAGAGTGCACACGCTGTCTTCGCAATGACAGTACGTGCAGAAGTGAAGTATACTTGGTATTCACGCGTCCCAACGAATTCTTTGAGTGCTATTTTCTGAATATCATCGTAACGATATTCAGCCTAATCGACTACTCATTACGCTGTTGTAGTGGAAATAAATCCTTTCACGAGTGTGCATATTCTTACTGCCACAAATTACATTCCCCCACATTGATCAATTTGGAGTTGGATACACTATTTATTGTTGCCTCGCTACGAATATTGTGATCAAGAGGATTGGCACCACAGCTGTAAGTCCGTCAATCAGTCAGGTAGCCAGTCAGTCAGTCAGTCAGTGCTTTCTATGGAAGTTATGAAGATTCGTCTTGGAGAACTAGGACAGCAGGAATTCATTCAGCATTGGCCCATATTACAAGGTGAATGACATGGCTTAAAACTCTATACTTCTTTGTCCAAAGGTGAGTTAGACTTGATGGTCTCGTTAATTAGACTTCAACTTTAAAATAAACATTTCCTTGTTATTGTTGGCACTTTCTTCTCTATGCTCTAGACCTAGCTTCGCATGCACTTTTACACGAATAGGTGCTCATGAAACCCTCACTATTGTGCGACTTACTATCAAGAACCACACCACACCTCACCCTACGGATATTTACCAAGGTAGACACATTGACAAAAAATGGAGTGATTTTGCTTGATTGTCTCAAATATTGGCCACATCCGTCCGCTATATCACTTCATATACATCTCCATTCCACAATTTCTCTGCGTATTCGGCTTGAACGCCTCTAACAACTGTGCTCAATTTGCCCGATTTTACTTTATACCTTTCTAGACCTCAATATTTTCTAATTCGATGCAAACCCAGCACACATCGGGTATTTGTAGTCCTCGATATCACCCTCTCTCTCTCTCTCTCTGATCCCAATAAGCCTCTCGAATGAAATCATGTGCATGTAACTTGGAACTATAAGAAGTTCTTTATTAGTCGAGATGATGAAGTTGGTGAGGAGGAGGTGGAGGATGGGAGTAGGATTATGGGTGGAAGTAGTTGTGGCGTGAGCATGAAGAGGACAACCAACTGACAATTTCAACATTAACGAATACGGTGGAACAGATGGGCAAAATGCGCATTTCGTGACATTTGAGTCAATATATTCCAACGACCAACTCTAAATCATTGCAGTTACTGTGCCTGTCAGGCCCATTACCAAATCACTTCAAGTTAATTGGATTAGAGAGAAGAGGAGTATCGTCGCATCTTCCAACTCCCCCTCTCAATAGATGGCCAAGCCATGGCCACCTCGTTTTGGTTATTTTGAAGGTTAGCCAAGCTCAAATACCTATTTCACTAGCCAATCCTATTCTGAATAGTCGACATTCAGAGGGACCTAGTTTAGCAGAAGCCCCTCGAGGATTAGGCCAAGTTTAAGTAGAGGAGAGAGAGAGTGACCAAGGAAGGAAACGCGAAACCCACACATTGCCTTTCTCACATATAGCAATGAAGAGTGCTCGTTCTCCCTTAGAAAGCCCATGTTGTTAGCCTGTGTGTTTCCATTTATGTACGTTGCTCACGTACATACATCAATATCACTGTCTATTAGACGTGAACTGCAACGCACTCGCATTTGCACGAATTTCTTCTCAATTGTTCCAACCACTTAAAGACTCCTCTCAAAGACAGCTGAAGCCTCTTGAATACAATCATGCACCCCGATTCGTCCACCATCCTTACCCCCACCCCCACCTCTCTATTTCGGGTGGCTTTGTCATGTAACAAAGTGATTTAATCTGAGGTGGAACTTTGCTGAATAACTGAGTGCATTTAGTCGAGTTCAATAGTTTCCATCCTGACATTTACCTTTCTAGTCTCTGGTTAGTCACTGATTTCGCGTAATTGTAAGATCTAACAACCACCCAATCACCCCTCGAAATTCAACTTCCAGATTGGGATATCATCAGCATTTAAATACATTTATGACCACTAGTTGGTACTTTCTGGAACATTGTGGCGTTCGTAGGCCATAAATGCAATTCCTTCAATTGGTGTATTCCATAGCTTGTCCATTCACTTCCTTAATGGGGTGTGATGGACCACTAAATGCCTACCTACTTGGAGGATATCTGAAGTCACTTCTCATTTCCGTCATCCCTAACGTACATTGACGCTGTGCTATATAGCATACCAGCTTTTAATTGTTTGCAGACAGCGCACAATCAAGACTCACTCACTTGAGACCTGGTTAAAATTTATTCCAAGGTAGATCAGATATGCAGATGAAAATATTTTATTTTAGTGTTAAAATGCAGTGGAAGCAAATGTGTCTGCAAATGTACTAAGCCCAACTACTCTGCGACTCTTCTGAATTCGTTCAATCTCAACGCCTTATCATGCCCTGTCCTATACGGAGATCATGCAGTACATTTCATTGCCTTCTCATATAGACCCAAGTTTCCGCAAGCTGTGAGAACACAATTCTGGTCTTAAGGTGTACCCCTCGATCAAGATCCTGATGGTTTATTGATTGATTAGTATCTTCCGCCAACTTCACAGTCTTGAAGTACAATCGTTTGAAACTTAGTTTGGTTTTCCATACAAAATACACACTAAATTGGAGTGAGTGACTTGTGAAGTGGGGGGGGGGGGATTTGGGATTTATAAGCAAAGTTACGTTCTATTTAATTGTTCTATGTTTGCGATTGAGAACATGCTGCATAAGGTTTAAGCAATACCCTGTGGGCCGATTTGGAGACAAAGGCATTTGATTCAAATCGGTAAATTTGGACTTGAGTGTGCAGGAGGTGTCGTTGACCCAAGGTCAACAGAGAGATCAATATGGTGATTGGTAAAAATCCAGTCTACGGTTTTCCTCAGTCCGGGATGTCAAGGAGAAGGCATAATAGCAGGGTGAAGAGAAAGAACTTTGCTCTCCCGACCCCTTCAAAATTCGAGTGTTCTGCCAAAGAGAAGTGTTGGATTGCAGCTATAACTACACGTGATCTTGCTATTAGGAGGTTCACAATGCAAAACTCGTAGTCGCTGAGTTGTAGTTTTGCCTCATCGTTAACTGCTGCCCTAGTTGCTTACAGCTTGACAGTTCTTTGGCACATCAATAATTGCCATTCTGGTAGTAGTTTGATCTACGAGGACCAATAATTGTATGATGGCTTACATTTTCAAGTAAAGAGATTGCCCCGCTAACGAACTGTCTTGAGTAACTTGCAATCTATGTCATCGCGTCACTCAGACCGATGACAACAACAATTGCCCAGGGAGACCCGGAGATCGACTTTATGAC